TTTTTTTTTTTTTTTTTGATACTGAGAATCAAAATCAGGACCTTGCACTTGCCAGGCAGGAGCTTGTGCCACTGAGCTATATCCCAAGGTTTTTCTTGTCTTTTTGAGACAGGGTTTCGCTACACATTTCAGGCTGGCCTTGAACTCACTTTGTAGCCCAGGCTGGCCTGGAACTTGCAGCAATCCTCCTGCCTCAGCCTCCCGCGTAACAATACTTCTTAAACATCAAATCAATACCCTTTAAAAAATCGACCAAAATCCTGGCTGCTTCTTTTAAGTCCCTCTTTCCTTCCAGCCCTTTTTGTGGTCCTTTCAATTTTGTCTTCCTGGGAAGGACGCAGGGGTGACCTGAGGGACTGTGAACCTGGGCCTTCCACCCTCCTCCTGTCACAGAGGTGAAGAGTTCGCCGCCCCCCGGCAGGGTTCAGACCCCAGAACCTGCTTCCCAGCATCCTTGTGCAGCCTCCCCACGCGCTCCCTCCCGCGCCGCGCCCTTAGCGTCCTGGGCAAACCCGGTCACCTGGGTGGACAGCGATGAAGATGAGCAGCAGCGGCCAGGCCATGCCAGAAGAGGGTGCCGTGCTGGGGACCTGGTGACATCTGAGACAGGAAGCAGTGGCCTGGCAGGGGACTGAGAGGCGGGGGCAGCGTTATCGGCCATAATTATACTGAAGCAACCCACTCATTCAGATACGTGGCAGGCAACAAAGTCAAGGACGCCCCGAGCGACAGGAACTCTAGCTTCAGCAGCGAGAGGAAGGGGGAGGGAGGGAGGACCACCTGTCGTGACCAGGCCTTCCGGGCACCACACCGGACGGCTAGCAGCTTCCTAGCACAACCAGGACCCACACATCCCTGGCCAAGGACCTCTGCGGCCTGGGCCCCGGCTTCCAGTGCTCGCCCCCTGAGGAGCCAGGACACTGCTGGCGCAGGGTCTGGTTCTGGGAACCCGCACGGCCGGGGTAGGTGGTTAGGAAGGCAGCGCCAGGCTGAGCAGGGAGAGGGCGAGGGGTGGGCGGGTGTGACCAGGATGTGGTTCCACCACCTTCTGAGGTTCAGAAAGACCAACCCTTTACCCAGAATGAGCCGGGGAGCGGCGCAGCGCCTCCCCCTCCCCTGCTCAGCCCCACCAGGCCGAGCCCAGCCACACCGGCCTTTTTTCCCCAGTCTGGCCTCCCTGAGGCTGCTCGAGCATTTCCACAAGTGAGGATGACCCGAGCTGATGGGAGTGGCAGTGGTGGCAGGGTTGCACCGCAGGGGCAAGAAGAGATACCTACGACCGCGGGATTTGGAGGCAGATTTATGTACATAGACGGGCACTGATCCGGATCATTCCAAAACGTCAGGCCTCGATCTCTGGTGGTCTAGGCCTTGTATGGGATACACAAGCAGGAAGTACAGAGGCAGAATGGCTTGTCAACTGGGGATTGTTTTTTTAATATCAAAACAAGACGATAGAGAGTTAACAATGGTTGTCATATTGCCTATTGTTACCTTCAAAGTAGTTGTTCAGGGGCTGGGGATTTAGCTCAGCGGCACAGCGCCTGCCTGGCAAGTGCAAGGTCCTGAGTTTGATTCCCGGTACCGGGAAAAAAACCAAAAACCAAAAAACAAAACAAAACAAAGTAGTTGTTCAGATTACCAGATACAGGCATGCAAAACTGATCAAACAATATAACTGTTCCTTTCAATGAACTAAGAGAAATTAGTAGTACAATTACCTTAGCTATCTTGTGTGTGTATATATATATATATTTCCTTTTCTCTTTTCCCCCATCCCGTTGTTCTTTCCTTTTGAGCAGTTTCCTTCCCTTTCACAATTTCTATTGTACCTTGTGGATCTTATTTACTCTTTCAGTTTCTTACACTAGGAAGACAATACAGTGCTTGGGGTTTTTTTTTGTTGTTATTGTTGTTTTTTTCCCCGGTACCGGGGATCGAACTCACAACCTTGCGCTTGCCAGGCAGGTGCTGTGCCGCTGAGCTAAATCCCCAGCCCAGCAATAAATGTTTACACATGCAATTCTGATTTATTTCACTTATAAGAATGGTTTCAAGTTGCATCCATTTACCTATAAAAGCCTCGAGTTTATCTTAATAGCTGAGTAATATTCCATAGTATAAAAAAAATCACATCTTTTTTAAGCATTCCTTCCTTGGTTGATGGACATTTGGATTGAGGATTGGTTTATACAATGTGCATTGCCGCGGGGAGTGGCAGATGCCTGTAATCCCAGCACTCAGGAAGCTGAGGCAGGAGGATTATTGTGAGTTCAAGACCAGCCTGGGCTACAAAGTGAGCTCAAGGCCAGCCTAAACTACAAGCGAGGCCCTGTCTCAAAAAGACCCCCCCCC